TTTCCTGGTTGGGCTAGCTTCAAACATGGGTCCTCAGATTTCATCCTCTTGAGAAGTTAGGTTTATAGGTGTAAGTCACCTGTACCTGGTTAGAAAGATTTGGTGTAAGGCATAACCCTGGGCTTCACAAAGACTCTACCATTCACCTACATACACCCCCAATACTTTTTGTTTTGTTTTGTATCAGTCCTGCAGTTTGAACACAAGGGTTTGGGTACTGTCCCTGGAGACTTTTTTTTCCTCAAAGCTAGCATTCTACTGCTTGAGCCACACAGCCCCACTTCCAGCTTTTTGGTGTTGAATTGGAGATAAGAGTCTCACAGACTTTCCTGCCTGGGTTGGCTTTGAACCATGATCCTCAAATCTCAGCTACCTGAGAGGTATGGTTATAGGTGTGAGCCACTGATACCTGGCTCCCTCAATCCTTTTTATAGTTTTTGTCTATGAAGAAAGAATGAGAACCTGTTTGTATTATACAAGCTTACAAGAGTAAGAAGGAGCTGGGTGCTGGTGTAATCTTAGCTACTCAGGAGGCTGAGATCCGAGAATTGTGGTTTGAAGTCAGCCTGGGCAGGCAAGTCCATGAGACTTTTATCTCCAATTAACAGAAAAAGGCCAGAAGTGGTGCTGTGGCTCAAGTAGTAGAGTGCTAGCCTGGAGCAAAAAAGAACTCAAGGACAGCACCCAAACCCAGAGTTCAAGCCCCAGAACCAGCAAAAAATGTAAACAAAAAAGAGCAAGAAAGGATTTTGTTGTTGTTGTTGTTTGTTTTTTGTGGGTCGTGGGGCTTGAATTTAGGGCCTAGGCACGGTCCCTGAGCTTGTCACTTAAGGCTAGCTTCTACTACTTTGAGTCATAGGGCCACGTCCAGTTTTCTGGTGGTTAACTGGAGATAAAAGTATCACCAACTTTCCTTCCTGGGCTGGCTTTGAACTGCAATCCTCAGACCTCAGCCTCCTGAGTAGGTAGGATTTACAAATGTGAGCCCCTGGCACCCAGCTCTCAAACCAGATCTTGACAGAAGTTACTAGTGTTTTCTTTTCTTGCTCATTACATTTACTTTTGCCTTTCATAGTTCAAGGGCTTAATTGGAATGGAGACTTTTTTGCTTCTTTTGGGTCAAGTTTCTGTGGAAATTGCTTTGTAGCTGAAGGACTTGCCTCTCCCTTATCATCCCAATCTTTTTTGTATCTAAAGATGGAATATGAAGGGTTGATTTCCTGCCTTATTCCCCCATGTTAAGCAGACACCAGGTGCACACAAACAAGCTTGACTACATGCCTGTTTGCATGCAGGTTATTCCAATCTAGGCCTGACCAAAGACACCAACCACCCTGGGCCCCTAAAAGACAATAGCCCATTTTTTTTAATTTTCTGCTTCCTTGTTTTTTTGTTGTTGTTGGTCCTGGGGCTTGAACTCTGGACTTGGGCGCTGTCCCTCAGCTCTTCAGTCAAGAAGAGCGCTCTACCGCTTGAGCCCCAGCGCCACTTCCGGTTTTCCGGTGGTTTATTGGAGGTAAGAGTCTCACGGATTGAGCTGGGAAGGTGGGAAGGTGGCTCAGTGGTAGAGCACTTGCACGCTCGAGGCCCTGGGTTCCATTCAGGAAGTGGCGCTGTGGCTCAAGGGGTAGAGTGCTAGCCTTGAGCTGAAAAGCTTAGGGCAGCGCCCAGGCCCCACGACCGAGCCCCCCCCAAAAAAAGAGTCTCACGGATTTTCCTGCCTGGGCAGGCTTTGATCCGTGACCGTTAGATCTCAGCCTCCTCAGTAGCTAGTATTACAGGCGTGAACCACGGGGCCCAGCTCTGCTTCCTTGTTAAGCTTTATATGCCCACCCCCAAATCCAGTCCCTTGCACAAACTCCAAACCCATGGGCAACAAGTCCTAGCCTGTTGATGATCCAATCCAGCCTACTCCTTTTCTGTCCCCCCACTTTTTCCTAACAGTAGCAGCACCCCAATTTCCCCAAGTTCCATAAGCCACAAAGTAGGTTTATCTTAAAAGATTTTAAGAAGTCACTTAAGGGGCTGGGAAGGTGGCTCAGTGGTAGAGCGCTTGCCTTGCATGCTCGAGGCCATGGGTTCCATTCCTCAGCACCACATAAGCAAAAAGAAAAAAGCCGGAAGTGGCGCTGTGGCTCAAGTAGTAAGA